TGCGGGCCTGCTACGGACGGTCTGGGCTGCCCAGACCACCGCTCCCCAGTGCCGTGGCTCCTCGTAGGGGACTTCAGCCTTTCAGCGTTTGGCGGGCTGCCCTCCGAATCCTTGAGCTGGTACCCACCTGCCGCCATCACCCCGCCCCGCCGGCGGCGGAAGGCCGAGGAGCAGCAGGTGGAGTCCCCAGAGGAATTAGGGTAGGAGCTGATTTTTTAGCACGTAAAGCAACGTGGAGCATAACCTTTTAGCATTATTACTGTCTTTTTCCCGTCTTAGTGTTGAATGCTGTAGCTGGATCACCTAGAAAGTGACTTTTTTCTTTGCAAGTGTTGATGCTAGAGAGACACCAAAATCCCAGTCAAATAGGGGACTACTCATCTTCACCAGTTTAAACAAGAAACAGTGAGTTTTGCAAACTCCTGTGGCAGTGTAAGTTTTTGCCGGTTCACATGTAATAATTAATGTTTTACAGTAATTACACACATCTGCTCTGGCTGAGATTCTGCGTGAATAAAGTTCAGTGAGTTTGATCTGGGTTCCCCGCATGCTGGGCATGAAGGCCCAGGTTAACCATGAGGGTAGCAACATTTCAGACCATGTCCATTCAGTGTCCTGCCTAAAGCGGACAGTCACCAGGAGAGTTTGTTTAACACATGGCAATCCCACAACATCCTACACGGCCTTGCATCTACGTGCTCACGGAGTAACTACTTTCAGTCTGGTGACCCATTACCCTGCAACCTGGTCTGTTAGCTATGGTTAGTATCTACTTTCTATCTTCCATGATAGAAAGCAACAATAAATTAAAAGTAGGAGTTAGAGGATTAAGAGTTGTTTCTTACATTTCTAAACCAAGCACCTATTAGAACCTTCCTGCTTCCCAGCTCTACCTCCTCCCCTACCTCCTCCCCGCAGCGGCACAGGGGGATTGGTGAGTCAGTTCATCCCACATTGTCTCTGCCGCTCCTTCTTCCTCACAGGGAGAACTCCTCACACTCTTCCCCGGCTCCAGCATGGAGTCCCTCCCACAGGAGACAGTTCTCCACAAACCTCTCCAAGAGTCCTTCCCATGGGCTGCAGTTCTTTATGAACTGCTCCAGTGTGGGTCCCTTCCACAGGGTGCAGTCCTTCAGGAACAGACTGCTCCAGCATGGGTCCCCCACAAGGTCACAGGTCATGCCAGCAAGCCTCCTCCAGCATGGGCTTCTCTCTCTCCACAGGTCTTGCTAGGAGCTTGTTCCAGCATGAGCTTCCCACAGGGTCATAGCCTCCTTTGGGTACATGCACCTGCCTCGGTGTGGGGTCCTTCATGGGCAGCAGGTGGATCCCTGCTCCACCATTAGCCTCCACAGGCTGCAGGGGAAGAGCCTGCCTCACTGTGGTCTTCACCATGGACTGTAGAGGAATCCCTGCTCCAGCCCACACTGGGTCCATCTTAGAGCCAGCTGGCACCAACTCTATCACTTCCAGCAGCCAGCCCTGCAGCCCCCCACCTACCAAAACCTTGCCACACAAACCCAATACAACCTTTCAAGAGTGACTGTTTCAAATGTTATTTGTGCAGCTGGATTAAAGTCACTACACTCCACTGCAACTGAGAAGTTACAGAAAAAGAAGAGTCACAACATAAGAGTAGTGCAGTCGTTTATCTTCAGCATCTAGCAATCCATTACATATAAGAAAGTTTGCATAAATGAATTTTCACCACCAGTGGTATCACAAACAAAATTTAATGCATACAAAACCTCAAATATTTGTATTTCAACAAAGAAACCTGCTACAGAATGGCATCTTGTTTCACAAGGACAACTTCAGAGTAGAGGCAAGTGCATTTCAGCCACGGTAGCATAAACAGCATGCAACACATGACATTAAACAGATGCAATGTCCATGTTCAAAACATTAAATAAAAATTAAGATACACTAAAACAATCACTTGAAACATAGGCCATGCTATAAAATGCCCTTTGCAAGTCACCTTAATCACCAAAAAAACCCCAATGAATCCTCATTTTTTGAGTATTTACTGGTAAAAACTAGTATGACAGTTTCCCCAGTACATTAAAGATCTATATTTTGATATTTATTTTTACAATAGAATGTATATAAGTATTACAATAAAAAGTTCATAATCATGTTATAAATCATCTTCAAATGTTCATAAAATCCTCTTTTGGCTGAAGCTCAAAATAGTTTAGGTATTTCTAAAGACGTAACAAATCACTAAGACTTAATTCCCCATAATTGCTTTTGAAATGCATTCTTCTCTCAATGACTTTGAATTGCATATCAAAATTCCATATTCATCTGAGCAAACCTGTTTTACCTGGTGGCACACATACTATAATCTAAGAGTTCCTTTCTCTCAGGTTTTTCAGGCTTCAGGAAACAGTTCCCTTTAAAACAAGTATTCATCTTTGTTTTGTGCAATATTTTTACAAGGGATAGAGCAGAAGTGCACTAGAGAAATTTCTTTTCTAAAAAGGCATTTTGAAGAAACTTTTTCTTATCGTGTACATGTGGCCAAAGTCCTTGGACACTGAGGAACAACTGACTAGAAGTCATTTCCTTTACTAAAAAGAGTACACAATTCTGTAAAAATGGACTACAAAAACCACAGTCTAATAATGCCCAGATTTTTAGACCTTTATGATAGACATAGTAATGTACATACGCAACTTGTGTGACACATTAAGCTTTTACAGGTGATTTTTTCTCCCTTCATAAAAAATAGATTGTAATATAAAATATTAAAAACAAGCTATATAACTTGTACCACATAGAGTTTTTATACATATACGACATTTTAAAAGGACTACTATATGGTAATATATTAAAAGATAATTTTCAAGTAAATTATGGTTCAATTTCATAGACAAGAACATGTCTATAATACATATTCCAGCAGTATCTATTCCCAGTAATCTGAAATATGCCAAATAAAGCCTGTGTAAACTTACAGAAGTTTACCTCCACCTTTCTCAATTTCAAGTCTATTCATCTTCCATATACAAGATTCCTGATGCCTTAAATGGGAACTAAGTATTGGGGCCTATTCCAAAAGAATTTGAAGAAAACTGCAGTATTTCTCACAGATGCAGTGAAAGTGAATTTAATCACATTTGCAAGAATGACTAATCATTTGGGTTCTTGCTCTCAGACCCAAGAATGTTTTGAAAAGATTAAACCCTCATCCAACAGAATATAAAAGGGGAAGTTTACTTACTCTTACTCTGTAAGGTCACTCTCAAGTGCTTTTAGGAATACAGGTCAGAAAGACCTAGCTTAAAAATACTATCCATTAAGATCAAAGATCAGTATATATGCATATTAGAGATTAGATTTAAGATCTGTATGACCTCTATTGGATAAAGAAAATGCTTATAAACATTATATACAGAAATTTACTCCACCCCACAACACCCCCCAACATCATGTTTCTTAGGTGTTTATCATTAATCTCAATTACAGTTGAGAAGTTCTGAATGATTCCTACTTTAAGTGGGGAATGCTGCTTCTGTAACTGCTATACTCCAAACATCTTATAATACTGGCAGTTCCTTACTACAACGGGCTAAGTTCAGGTTTCAGTTAATTGCAGGAGCACCAGAACTTGGCCTAGTATGAACATGGTTTTGGTTACAAAAGCAGTTATGCTGTACTTTTTTTGCTTCAAAGTCTTTTCAGAAACATAATTGTTTTATTAGGTTTTGCTCTACAAAAATACAATGTAAGCATAGTACATTTTATCTACAACTGTTTTGTCATTTCATAATCACGTTGCTCTATGTAAATGTATTTAAGTTGAAAAACAGCATTATGTTTTAATGGTGGCAAAACAGTAAATACTTTGCCAGCTCTTTCCCGCTGCAAATCATAATAAATGCTTGCCCTGAAAACTAATAATTCACTGGCTATTACAAGTGACACAATCCATTAAGCAAATTTAGTCTATTAAAATATATATGTCCTTGAAATTAATTTATTTCCAGTGAATTTCAGAAACTATCTGCAAATACCTTACAAGATCGCCCTCATTAATAGTCACTGGAGTGGGCTATTCTTAGGGAAAGTCAGATTACTGTCTTGAAAGGTAAAAAAAGCAGTACAGAAATAGGTCCTATTTTTTTAATTGGTAGGTGTTTCTGTTTCTGCTTTCCCCATTGGTGCCTCAGGAAAAAGCAGTTTTCTAAGTATGTTTGCATAGAACGGTCCATATACTTGTTTATTAAAGTTTACAATGCTTGCGTACTGAGATCCAAGAAATTCCATCTCCGTCTGAATCACGGAAAGGCCACCTGGCACAGTAGGCATTCCCTTCTGTTTTTGGAAGAGCAAGCAAGCTTCTCATGAAGAACTGGATTCGTTTGTCTGAAATAGAATATAAAGTATGCTCAGAAAGAGAGTAAACCCCAGATGAAGCCCCAGGATGAAGCCACACTCGCTTTGTAAGCACCCTGCACATCAGCACAGCAAAAAAAATAAAATCCAACAACGTAGGTAACAATCTTTCCCAAGCCCATGCTGCAGTGGGAAACAGTACTGAAAGCTTCTTCAAGTCAGCTCCTGCAAGATGGACACAGCCTAAACCTGCTGCAACAAGTTTACATTACTCAATATGAAGTCGACTCAAAAAAACCCACTAGGTTTAAAGCCAGAACTGACAGAAGAGAGACTCAATAGCACTAATTTTTCTAAGTTCTTTTCCAAAACACCAGCATCTCTAGGCTTGTTTGTACAGACACTTTTAAAATTATTTCTAGCTGTGACTAACCATGCTCTGCAGCATACCAACACCACTATCTAAAAGTAAACATTTCCTTACTCTTAGTTGACCCAGTATTTTACTGCAGTTAAGAAAGTGCTTTAAAAAAAAATAGACAGCTGATTAAGCTTGCTGGGAGTTAAGTTTCTATACAGACACGTACAGTAAGACAATTATGTATTATCTTACTAACCAATCAAGGAACTGACGGGATTATTCTCCTCAACAATATGAGCAATTTGACCCACTAAATTACTCTGCATTTCTTCATTAAGAGTAGGAAGACCTCTTTCAGTTAGAGACCTGTTCACTTTGCTGCAAACCTGGACACCAATAGCATTCAGAGCCTCCTTCAAGTCAAAGGTTCTGGAAGAAAGAAATAGAAAAGCATTAACTTTTGCAGCTTCTGTGGCATAGTTTGTAAGGTGACCTCACTTGTGTCCTTTTTTCCCTTTAAACCTACTCTCTCAATGAAAGAATTTAGAAAAGTATCTTTTGCTTTTGTAGATTTATGTACATCTACGGATACAGGTCAAATCTCCACGTGGAAGATAAAAATAAGGACCTTATTGTGATTCAAACGGGAAAAATGAAATTAAGTTTCAAGTGTGCAGCAGTGACACCAGTTCATTTTGCCTGTACGCTTAGGTGTTTTCCTGGGCCACATGAATAGCATTTCATGAGAAAAAACACAGTGGTAAGCTATTTTATGAGACGCTTTCAGATCACATCAGACTTGCTTGTTGTGCAAGCAGCAGCAGAAAGAGGCAGCCAAACTTAAGCTACCTACAAGTTTGAAGCAACTGGCAAGACCATTTAGTGAACATATTGCCACAGTCTCTCCAGTATTAGGAGTGTATGAATGAACTTTAGTACTGGGCTCCAAATTCTACAGAGTAACATGAAGATTAAGATTTCATTAAAATAGAACTTTGAAAACATTGCCCAATACAGTGGACTTGTACTCTAAAGGGAATATAGATATAGATTATTAAAATTTGGTATCTTTCCGTTATTAACAAGCACTGGCTATGACACTTGAATTGTTTTCAAGCATTTTCGGATCCACCTGGTATTTCCTGTTTAAAAAAATATAAAAGAGATAAAAACAAGGCCTTACTTCTTGTTCATGCCTTCAAGAAGGGGAACGGAGATTCTCTTCAGTTGGTCAGCAAAATCAGGCGCATCTACAATTGCTGCACCCACCATATTGTTTGTTATGAGACAAACACAAGCTATGATTTTTAATTGATTGAGCTTTTCTCTCAACTCCTGAAGACGAACTTCATCTGTTGTTAGAGTCTAGAATTGAAATAACACTGATTTAGGAATATGGAGAGAGAGAGGGGCAGGGAAAAGGACAGATATTGGATGTAGTCATGAGGCACTATTATTTTTAATCACAAATTTGCAGAGTCAGAAGAGACAGCTGCTGAAATACCCTGAATATGCAGTACTGCACCAAGTAGCATTACATATGAGTACCAGAAGTAAGCCTGTGGTGGGAAGAAAAGTAACACCTTCAGTGCAGAGGAAACTGAGGACATTGCACCTTATTCCTCATCAGTGCTGACAGAAGTCTGCGACCAACAATTCAGCCCATGATGCAGAACGCTCAGGGGATACAGAGGACATTGTAGCGATCAAGGTTACAGACAGCATAGTCTTCTGGATTCCTCTGTCCTTTGAAAAATGGATCATCTGTATCTGATGGACAGTGATGAACAACTGGGCATGACAATCACCAGTTCAACCACCAGAGCAGGTTCTGCAAGTGATACACAACGTGCTACAGGCAACAAGCCAGTTGATTATACCAAGAATGCAAGTAATTCCCATAGCAAAATGTAGCTGGAGTGACTTATTTTGGGTTAGAAAGAGTTCATCCTAACCAAATCCCTCCACTGAGAAGCACAGGGGCATTAATACTCCACTGTGTTCAGTAGTGATTTCACAGTATGACAAACTAGATCCACCAGAGATACCGGTGTGTAGCTCTTACTCAAAACTGCTCAAAGGAAGGTAAGAATAAGGTGGTTTCCCTTTCATCCACTGACTGAGAGCACTAACAGCACCCATCTCACAGAATCCAGAATAGTTCGGGTTGGAAGGAACCTCAAAGATCACCTAGTTCCAACCCTCCTGCCATGGGCAGGGACACCTTCCACTAGATCAGGTTGCTCAGAGCCTGATCCAACCTGGCCTTGAACACTTCCAGGGATGGGGCATCCACAACTCCTCTGGGCAATCTGTTCCAGTACCTCACCACCCTCACTGTAAAAAATTTCTTCCTTAGTTCTCATCTAAATCTCCTCTCTTTCAGTTTAAAGCCATTGCCCCTTGTTCTATCACTACACGGCCTTGTCAAAAGCCCCTCTCCAGCTTTCTTGTAGCCCCTCTTTAGGCAGTGGAAGGCTGCTAGAAGGTCTCCCTGGAGCCTTCTCTAGCCCAGGCTGAACAATCCCAACTCTCTCAGCCTGTCTTCATAGCAGAGATGCTCCAGCCCTCAGATCATCTTCATGGCCCTTCTCTGGACTCACTTCTAGCAGCTCCATGTCCTTGTGTTGGGGACTCCAGAGCTCAATTTTGGCTCTAGAGAGGGTCCTAACTCGGATCATGGTTCTAGCTTGCTTGTTGGTTCTAGAGCAAGTTCTAGCTCGCTTGTTGGTTCTAGATTGGGGTTTGTTTTGGTTCCTGATTGTTATGTACCTAGTTTGGGATTCAATTTGCTTCCTGGTTCCTGATCGTTATGAACAATTTCATGTTCAGGAAGATGGTCTTGAACTTCTAGCTCACTTGCTGGGTCAAGACAGTTGTTTTGTTTTGGATTGCAGTCTAGCTCACTTGTTTGCTCTAGAGCGTGTTCTCGCCTGCTTGTTGGCTCTAGAGCATGTTCTAGATTGTGGTCTAGCTCAGTTGTTGGTTCTAGAGCAGGTTCTGGGACAGAAGTTCATTCTAGAGGAGAGGGTGGGTTTTTCTTTCTTTTTTCTTCTTCTTTTGAGAGGAAGGCTCATAGAACGGTGATCCTGTCATCCTCCCATAACGTATCTCCATGCATTTAGCAAATTCTCTGCCACGCCACCCTAAGTATAGCCAAGGTGCTCACTGCAGATGCTAATTTTAACCCTGACTGATGGCCAATTTCAAATTGGTTTTATGGAAAGTTGCAGAGGTCAGTAATCAGGAGTTGGAGGGGGGGGGAAAACTGAACACTAATTCTTGAAGCAATAGTTTATATACACTGAGAAAGGGTGAACAGCTGCCTTAGATGATTTCAGGTTTCTACCGATTCTGTTCTAAAGCAAGAGTGATCCCACCAATTCCTCCTGCTGTTAGGAAAACAGCATGCTATAGTCAGTTCTCTCACAGATACAAGAAAGACAAGTGCTGTGAGTACAAGGCCCAGCCTTTGACCATGGCCAAGACTGCTCTTAGGGTGGAGCTGGTGAGCTATGATTGAATAAAGGGAAAACAACCTCTACGTTGTTCTCTTCAAGTTGTTGACTTGGCCATCTTGTATTTCAGAAACTAGACTGGTGTATATACTCTCCGAATTCCAAATTCACTATTCAGAAATTTAAGAAGTGCAAGAGAATACTTCACCTCGTGTCATCGATAACAGGGTTACCATACTAGACCAATGTTTTCCTATAGCTAGAAAACTGAAGACACTGAAATACACTTCTTACCTCTGGAATTGTTTTGCAATAATCCCATTGTAACAGTTTCAAGTAGCCATTGTTTAGCACCAGCGTAGGACTAATAATTGGTTTAGAACTACTATCAGCACCAGGGGATGATGACGATTCATCAGAAATAGATGACAATTCATCTTCTATCGAGTCCTTTATCCATTCTGTTGTGAGGTCCAGGGCACCTATGCATTGCAAATCAGCACAGATTTACTACATGCTTTCATCAAAGTAAGCACTAGCTTGAGGAAAAGAGCTGTACACAAACAAGAGTACTGAACTTCTGACAAAGACAATGAACAGCTGAGTCTTCACACATGTAAATTCTCTCTCTCGTTTATTTTTTTTTCCACTGACCATCTTCCATTGGTGACCTTAATATTCTAACCAGCTGGTACAAACCCAACAACAAATTATTAAGCTTCAGGCAAGATTTTTGGGTACAAAAGCCTCAAAATCTAAGTTCCCAAAGCATTTTTTTCCCTTTTTCAGGGAGGCCACTTAATAGTTGGGGCATAGGACTGGAAAGTAGAGGTGAAGGGAGATATATTAACAGCAAATGAAATGCTTTTTATTACAGAGTTCTTTCTCAAGCTGCACATATAAACACTGCAGGGTGTATCAGTGGCTCAGGGTTCCCATTTAAGAAGCCTCTGCTCCAGATATTAGTAAGCTTACTTCTTGGAAAATATATTTTCTGAACACTGTTTAGCCATATTACACAAAACCTGTAATAGTGGATCAAGTTGACTTTGCATCACCTCAGAAGTTTTCCTCAGAGACTGCCTTTTGTTTATTAAAAAATTAACCCTTCCAACTTTCAAGCACACTAACTGGTTTTACATGTTTACTTCAGACTAACAAGAGATTTGCTGTGTACAAAAGATAAAGTTTCATCTTTCAGTACATAGGGCTTCTGCCTCCAGACAGTAAGAGCCATTCTTTGTTTTTCAGATAACAACCCATTTAGCAAATACAAATTTCTCTGAAAGCACCCCAGATTACACATAAACGTACTTTATAGCAAGCTAAGCAATTGTCCATACGTAGCTTGACAAAAAATTTTGCATTAGTTAGATACAGACAAGAAACTGAAGTTTTCCTCCAAATTAACTGAAATTGATAGATTTTATGGCATATCTTTAAATAGTCTGCTTTTTAACAAAAGGTTTAAGTAAAGCATGATACCTACTTGGTGTTTCTTCAAGAATTTCCTGAAATTTTGTTCTTTCATAGTCCACCAAGTTACGCTGAAGGTATGGCCTAAGGTTTTGAATTGTGTAATTAGCCATATCCACTTTCATCAGGTCCAAAACACGGAATATTTGTCTGAAAGGAGGAGTTAAAAATTCGAGTTACAATAGTCTTACTGATTTTAACCAGCACATGTGAGGTACACCTACATTTGCACTTTAATTTCAACTCTGGGAGAAGTAAACTCCTCCATTGATATTACAGTGTAACAGAGATGTTCCCCATCTTCCAGGATACTTGAAGGAGTATTGTGTATAAGGCTTGGTGTAAGCTACAGAGAACAGGACAAATCTGCAGCATCACTAAATGCTACAACTCTAACAGAAAAAGAAGGGTTTTCAAGAACTATATCAATTGGTATGTTTCAGCTTAAATGAACAGATTTTAACTTTCTGGTCACTAATTGCACCAAGAGAAACAATCCTTCTGACCAAGTTGCTTTGGTCCCTGTATATGATCCAAGTTGCAATAAAACAGTAGAACAACAACTATCACTTACTCTTCCTATTTCAGTGTACCTAAGGAGCAGTAAACTCGTTTCTGCCCTTTTATGCAAGTGTTTCACTCAAGCTCAAGTAATAAGATCTTTACTAAAGAGATTTTAAATCCAAAGATTGGCCTCCTAGAAGAAGCATGCAATAAACAGTTCAAGAAGGAACAGTACAAGTGTGCTGCTTAAATTTAAGGGTGAACAAGACTGAAAAAAGCAGTCTCCAAAACACAGACTATTGCAAGAGTGCTTTTTTTGTTGTTCAGTAGCTTAGATGTTCAGAGCTGGTAGTGTTTGATCTAGGCACTCTACCCATTTCATTAAAATGTAAGATACACATAATATTCTGGTCACAGTGTGTCATAGCTCCTCCCCTTTAATGCTACTCTATAAAAATAAGTTTTCCTATAGTTTGAAAACAGGTGTTACATAAACTGACACAATTTACAATGACTTTCCCCTCCCTTTTCCACTGCCCAGTACTCTTTCAGAGAAGAGATTTTTCCTCTAAAAAACCACCCAAATACCAACCTCAGTAATTCTACGATATTGTCAGTAGCTTTTAACTGTTTTATATCGTTGTCTCTTATTGGAGCACATAACTTTCCCATAGTGTTGATGATATAGTTAGCTAGCCCATGAATATCAACAGCATTATGTTCTGCCTGCTGTCTTATAAGATCTGTATCTAGAACTTCACAAATTTGATTTTGAATCCTGTTTGCTCCAGGAGTCAGGAAGGAAAGAAGAATCTAAAGTAGGGGGAAAAAAAAAGGAAAAGCTTATCAATAAAAACCAAACCACTTAGTAAACATGCTGAAATAAGATTTTAATATTAATGTCAAGTGTATTTAGCTGATGGCTATAACAAGATACGTTAAGACTGAACGTTATCTAAGGTAGCAGGAAAAACAGACTCTTAAAAGGATCACAGCACAGTTCTGCAAAATGCTCAAAGCTGGTAAACCTGAAAGGATGTCAACAAGGAGACTCTTGAAAACTGGGAGGCTGCCCTGTAGAACAAACATTTACTAACTTAAACTTCTGAAAGACTTGTATTGTGCCAGGATTGAAGGTTTGTATGCTTCCTTGTGCGATGATTATAAACAATAAAGTCTATGTGGGCAGGTGCAGTCACGTTCATGCCTGCTCATGCTTATACCCCTGTTCATGCCCTAAGCTCACAGCATGTTGGTAGAAAGAGGCTAGTACAGATACAAAGCTTTGAGGAAAGAGCTGACTTGCCACTAACCATCACCCAGTGAAAGCCAAGTGGACATGCCACTGTGTGTTTGTGGCCACAATCATGGCTAATCTACTAAAAATAGACACCTATTTGCATAGCTCTGAACAAGCAGTTCTGGTTTCATATTAAAAGGAAAAACTTGAAGGTGTTGACTTGACTGAGTTAGCAGACCCTTCAGTGAATAAAAGAGACTGTCAGACCTAAGCTGACAAAACAATACTGGGGCACAGGGGAGGGGGAACATTACCTCTTTAATTTCCTCAAAGAGCTTGATAGCATGTTCATACTCTGGAGGATCTTCATTCAGTTCTGATTCCAAATGATCCCAAAATGCCTTGTGCACAATTTGTTTCACTGTGCCTGCAAAGCTGTGGAATAAATCAGTTAGACACAGGAAAGACTCCCAACTAGCTTTCATCCTTGGTAATTACCAAGTGGTATAGATTAGCCTCATCACTTGTTGGGAAACACATCACACCTCACCAGCTACTGTGCCCTGCAACCACATTTCTTGGTCTGTGGATCATGAGCTCCCAAAACATGGTCTAGACTTGACAAGTCTTTGCCAAAACACCTGTATTTTATAAAGTGGTGCTGGCAACTCAGACATAGGTAAAGAGAGATTACTTTTCCTTTTTCCTTATTGAATTTGTACTCATTGTCCTAACCTGGTATATTATATACTAAGCTTTCTCAAAAACTCTTCTTTTATATAACCAATTGTCAGTTAAGGGACTTGTGTAAGTTAAGGGACATTTGTTTCTTTACATAAGTTTCCTCAAAGTAAAGAGCAGGGTCATTTTTAAGTTAGACATACCTGTAAGCAACATTTTAGCTACCTACACTAGGGCAGTTACTTTCTCACTTCTCCTGGATCTGCAAGTATTTTTGCTTCTCTTCTGGGACTATTATTTGAGCTATGTTCATGATGAGCTCTATTTTTTCCACTATGGCACCAATGGGCTACTACATACAACTGTACAGGAGGCCACCATTTCATCTTTTCCACAGGGCTTGGGACTGCACAGAACAGACTGATACTCATCTTCACTATGGACATTCATATTGCATTAGTCTTCCACGTGACATTTAAGACAGTAATATGCTCCAAGAAAGTATATCAAATCAACTGGACCACAGCACTTGTTCCAAGCAAGATAGCTTTGACAGTGACTCCTGGAGGTGCAGGATAAAAATCCGTAGCCTTTCAAGATGTTTTGGTTTGGATTTTCTTGTTTGTTTCATTTTGATTTTGTTTGGTTGGCTTTTTTTTTAATTTGCTGCTCCATTCATTTCTCCTCTCTTCCCAGCCCCAGTGCTGCTTTTTGCAAAATTCAGGCTCTTACCTGTTCTGTGGTAAGTCTTCCTGTTTTATGCAAAAATTTGCATTTACAGCAATTTCATGAGCTAGAGTCAAGTCTGTCAAATTTCTTGCAGCTGCCATCAGTTCATCAAATGTAATAATCTTGGGAGGGCTTGCTGCTGGAACAAACAAGATAAATGCAAATATCTATAGTTGGTAAGCGCAATTGAAAACATTAAAATTTAGAAATTTTACTGCTTGTTAATTGGACTCTAGAAGAAACAACACAGGATTGAGGTCTTTATATCTTCTTAAAACACTAACTCAGGAAACTCCCAGCTTATCAGGGGTGTGTGTGGGTATTACCACACAAGCCTTATAACATTTTGAAAAGCAATTTCATATTTCTGCATCTTAACTAAGACATCTTTTTTCCTTTTAAAACAGGGTCTTGCATTCCACAGATTTCCTATTGACTGTTCTTTAAAATCCACCAGACCATAAGCACGGGCAATTACAGGTACCAGATGTCTATTATAACTCTGAGCATATAATGGATATATTGTGGTTTTATTGCCTGTAGAGAAGGTTCTTAAGTTACTGACTTCAACCCCCACTTACGGTCCATAGCGGATGCATCATAAGTTACACTCCTTTTTTTACAAAAAAGTATTAACAACGTAATAGAAACTCTGCATTTGAAAGCAAAAGTAAATTTCCAAAGTTTCTAAACCCCCAAATTCTGTCATTTAATTTAGTATTTGAAATTAAGCCGGTGAAGGCCGGTAATAAAGAAAGACAAAGAGCCAGCTGCCAATTGCAGTGCCACTAATAAGCCTGTTCTAATGTAAGGCTGCACTTGCACAGACACTCAAAAGTATGCATGGTCTGAGAATGCTTACAGACATGAACATGAAGGCACATCTTAACCAAGGATTTTATTTATCATTACTCAAAATACTTTTTTTGCAAATGTGTGTTTTCTGTTTGAGCCTAATATTTATAAAAACCATGAATTCAAGATTAATTTCATGTAACTTGATGTAGTATTATAAAACCGCAAGTTACAGATTTAATTTTTAAGCCTATAGACCCAGCACAAGAAACCCACTCTTTGCACAAAGCTGTATCTGGTTGAGTGAGAGACTGCTACAAGCATCAAGATTATCTCAAGATGAGGGTGTCCATAGTGGCACACTTGTCTTACACTTTCTGAAGTGAAGGAGTGCACAGGGAGACACACACACACACACCCCCCCCCGCCCCCTGATACAGCTGCTGGTGGTGTTCCACTCACAAGGAGATGAGCTGCTTCATAGCAGAGAGAAAGCCATGTCTTTCTCTTAATACACTTAAACAGGGATTCAAAATCCCAGATTCTGCCCATGACAGCAAAGAGAAACAAGGTAAGTTAGCCTTATCTGTCCATGCAGAATGCAGGTAAGGTTGAAATAGGCTTACATGCCGGAGAACTGGGTTTGCTTGAAGAATCACTGTTAAAGCTCTGTCTTGAATACTCAGAGTCACCGGAAGAAGCCGTGCTTTCAGAGAGGCGTGAAGAATCTGAATCGCTGGTCTGGTCATCATTGAGAGGCATTCTGATTCACTTTAGCTGCTACAGTAAAAAAGACCTGGAAAGACAAATACACTTCCCATAAAACAAGCAATTACTATTTTTTTTTGGTGCGTTTTTTTCTTAAGTCAGATACTGATCACATTGTAAATGAAGAACACAGTTGCCTTTCTTAAAAAGGTGTTACAGAAAGAATCTGACTTGATATACATAATCATACAGTTATTAACAAACTCCACCTGTTCTGCAAGAAAGTTTTGTACCTTCTGCTGTTTCATACCTTAATGTTTAAGTTAGAGACAGTCTGTAAATGTTATGTTTAAAAAATAAAAGACTACCCACAGTAACCCCTGAAGTTACTTGTTGTCAGAATTTTAGATGTTATCAACATCCCTAAAGGCATCTCATGATGTTACCATCTCCCACCTGACTTCACCAACAAGTGATGTTTAGCAATTAGCTTCCTTCCACAGACTGCACTGAGTGTAACAACTCTGAAGCAAACATAGAAGTTCCTGTGAGAGAACAGGCAAATAATTCGGAATACTACATATGTGACAGGGTGTAGCTGAAAGGCTGGCCTGCTGCTTTAGCTGGGTCTTTGCTCAGAATCAGATCTACAACGGCATAGACCCCAATAGAGGTGAGGGTGGATGTTTTTTCTGATTTAAGTCAAATGGTAACTCTGAGCCTCTAACATTACATTCAGCATACATGACAAATAACCCTGAGAAGTGTCATACTTCATAGTGCTTCTGTCTACACAAAGAAACTGCCTCCCAGGCAGATCATCTGCAACTGCAGAGAATTTGGACAGCTGCATAGTGTCATAGACATGATTAATAGCTGTAGGACAGGAAGTGAAAAATACATCATATTAAAATGAGAAACTGGAAGTCAGCCATAATTACTACCAAAGGAATTTGGCCCAGATACCAAAAGTAGCTGTTCATCTTCGATTACAGCCATTAAGCATTTTGTAGTAAACTTTATGAAGAGACACAGCCAACAATGCTCTCCGTCAGCAAATTTAAGTAATATGACTTCATTTAGAATTAAGTTGCATCAGCTTCAGCAGGCAAGGAATACTGCACTTTGCAACTCCTGAACTTGGAAAAAAGCCACTTTTGGCAGCAAAATCTTTTTGTGTGGTTATGTGAATCAACGTATTATGGGATCAAGAGTTAGACAAAAGAAAGTAAGAATTAAGATTTCTTTACACTGGCATCTAGTTACAGCTTAGAGCATTTGATTTTTTGGGTACCAGCTCATCCTGAATAGGCCTTTATAACTTGATGAGGTATTACACTGATGAGTACTCCCCTGGTAATTCAGATGATTAACATCTGTTAAGTGTATGTTTACTCTTCCTGCTCTCCCAAGAGGAAAGAGGGTGCATTTGGATGCCTCATGTAATATTTTATGCTGGGTTTTGTGAAAAGAAATAATCACTTCAGCAAGAACACAGCTGACAGTTTATTATCTTACTGGAGAAGCCAGTAAGAGAGGCTTAATCAGGATATAGAGGTCATGGATTCAAGACTTAGTGTTAGTTGTGATCCTCAACATCATAACTTTTATTAGAACAGCAATTTTATAATTTCTAACAAGCAACTGAAAACAAGCAGATAGTTAAAATAGTATTGACTAAAGACAGAGTTGCAAGAGAACCTAGAAAACTGAAAGGCTGAGACATTTTTGACTTGGAAATTGTATTTAAGTTACAACTAGAAATGAGTCACTAGTTAATGTTACACAACTATTTCTTCTATTAAGATCAGTGTTACAGATCTCAAAGCTAGCGCTGACTAGAAACTAGTTGTGACGAGTAACCTACCTGTAGAACACACTCCAGGTTCTTGATCTGGAACCACTCAAATACAGTAACCCTACAGAGCCTGTCAAGCTTACATTACCCTCCCACTATTGTTTCTGGATCAGCATCAGAACACTATTTCCAAGATTTAATCATGTATAAACCCCTATTATTTATACATATAAATAACTAACCTCCAAAAGGTTAATGTTGCACGTGGTCCATTGAAAGATTTGATTAATGTTGTTAGCACTGTACTGGCCCAAAAGGTCTTGTAAATCACTTGCCTAGTACGAGCACTTCAAGTCTACTGCTTCAGTCTAGGTGATAAGAACATGGAAGAAATTAAAAGACCATTAAAAATCCCCAAATTCTCACATAATTTACACACCATTTCAAGAACTTCCTCTTAACTGTCAGTATGATAACTCTAATAAATATTCACATTTTTAAATATTAAAATATTCAGATTTGTAAGGTGCTCCTGACAGAAGAACTAAACCAGCAGGCTGAGAGATAAAGGGTTTGAGAGCAGCCCTGTGGAGAAGGACTTGGGGGTACTGGTGGATGAAAAGCTGTACATGAGCAGGCAACATACGCTTGCAGCCAGAAAGCCAACTGTATCCTGGGCTGAATAAAAAGCAGCAAGGCCAGCAGCTTAAGGGAGGTGATTCCCTCCCTCTACTCTGCTCTCATGAGACACCCCCTCCCCTCCCCCCGGAGTACTGTGCCTAGCTCGAGTCCTCAGCACAGGAAAAACAGAACTGTTGGACTAGGTCTGGAAAATTAATCAGAGGGATGGAACACCTCTCCCGTGAATAAAGGCTGAGAGAGTTGGGGTTGTTCAGCCTGGAGAAGTAAAGGCTCTGGGGAGACCTTACTACAGCCTTTCAGTGCGTAAAAAGGGCCTATAGAAAAGATGGGTTCAAACTTTTTAGCAGGGCCTGTTGTGAGAGGACAAGAGGTAGTGGTTTTAAACTAAAAGAGGGTAGATTTAGACTAAATATAAGGAAGAACTTTTTTTACAATGAGGGTGGTGAAACACTGGAACAGGTTGCCTAGAGAGACAGTAGATGCCCCATCCCTGGAAACATTCAAGGTCAGGTTGGACAAGGCTCTGAGCAACCTGATCCAGTTGAAGATGTCCCTGCTCACTGCACAGGGGTTGGACTAGATGACCTTTAAAAGTCCCTTCGAACCCAAACAATTCTATGGAGGCAAGTCAGCATTGCCATTTCCTACCCCAATCTTGATTCCCAAGACCACCAAGATAAGATTCCTATCTTAAGACAGAAATAAAAACTCTACACAAAATCTTCACATACTAGTCCTAGCAAAGGCTCTTTCAGCAACAAATACCTGAATTTCAATGAGGTCCATGACATATTTTGATGTGCTGAGAGCATACCCATTCCTACAATACATGCACACATATAGACAGCAAGAGTTGTCAGTAGAGTGCTTCAGAAGGCTTAATTTAAGTAAGACACTTCAACAATAGCAGGAGATGACACACTGAAACAATATTGCAGTCTTTGCCACCGTAAATACATTTCCTAGTAGGATACCTCAAATGGAATAGTAAGGAAGAATGAGTGTATTCTTCAGGTTCATAGCATTATTGCTAAATTCTAAGTTTGAAAAAATAAACAAAGCAGCAAGCATATCATAGTAAACATACATGAATACACAAGCAGAACCTGGATATGTCATCTACAGCTTTTAAATACGCTGCCCAACAGTGAAAGTTTAGAGAAAAGTACATTCATTGAGCATATCAAAGACAAGTACAAACAAAAAAGCCATTTCTAATTAGTTACAGCAATAGACAACTGAGTTACTCTCGTTATAGCATACACTGGATGAGCTGCTTTTCCTTATGCTTTTGTAAAGAGAGCTTCTCATAAATCACTAAGGGCCAAGTTCACATGTAATTTTTAGTTCAGACTATAACTTCCAAGTAAAAATATTTCTGAAAGCCCTTTGGCCTTCCATGATCTCTTTGTAACTCACCATCTTAAACAGACAATACCATCCTCTTTTTTTTTTTTAAGTTGTTCATTAAGTATTACATATTAGACTGTTGTTTTAATACACAGCCTAATATCCTACCTATTCTATTAAATGATCAGCCTGTGGTTACAACCTGCTTTACTCTTCCTGCATTAAAAACAAATGATGTTTACTTTTGTATTAGGTTGGATACCTTCACAGCAGGCTCCATTATAGTGTTTGCTTTCTTTCAATCAGTACTATTTTGCAGCTTTTTAAGGATAAACTCTAAATGGGAGACCAAGCTAAAAATATCTTCTAAATATACAAAAAACAAGATTTCAGTTAATTTAACAAGAAAAAACTCAATTATCATGGTTTCTGCTGCTATTTAGACAGTTTGGGATTATTCTTCTTAGGAAAGATGAATACAACACTGTAGATGCCTAAAGGCATCTTGCTCTTACACCATCACCACATTACCCACCCCAATCATTCACTTAGAACTGATCAAGCTCACAAGATCAGATTAGTTTTAGAGAACACAAAATGCTTTTTATTCCTGAAGGCTTCCTTAGCAGTTATATTATTAAGTATCTTGAGGGAAAAATAAAAGACAGTTTGGAAGTTTTTTTTTCCTTCAGATACCATCTTCAAGAAAAGTTTTTCCACGGCCCTGCTTTGTTCAAGTAAGTCCCTCCATCCCTACGCATTTTTGAAGTGCTCTGTCCAGTTTTACCACTATAAACGTCTTAACTTTGTTTATTCTACTGGGCTCGGATCCTTACTATCTTCAAGCTGGCACCGACTGAATCTCATTTGCGCTCGAGTTTCCCTTTCATTGTCAGCGCTCACGGCACAGGGGCAGAAAAGAGCCTTTGTTAAGAGTTGCGGAATTTCCTCATGCCTCATTTTTGACATCTTACAGCCGACGTTTCTCTCCTTTAGCTTTCTAGTTCTGCAGCTCTGCCCTTTACACACGAGCTTCTCTCGCTGAAGGCTTAAAAACACGTAAGTAAGAGCGACGTGAGGACGCGACCCGCAAGGTCTGTGCGCGGGACAGCCACGGGAATTACCTTCACCTCGGACGCGGAGGCGACGCGCCCCCCCCGGG